TTTGATGATTCCAATGCTTTAATGTGTAACACACTTGGATGCTGTTTGTTGCATATGGAGCAGTTCAGATGCTGTGTGCAGTCTTTACTTATATGTCCTCCTTTGGTTAAACACCCAAAACAGATTCCATTCTGTCTTATAAAGTTTATCTTTTCTCTGTGCGGCTGCTTTTCAAACTGCAAGCATGACATCAAATCATGTCCATTGTTACAGTAGAGACATGAAATTGGCTGTGAATCCTTAGATGTGGTCTGTGGTGAGTTCACATGCACATTGGTAGCAAAACTGCCTTTGGATTTGGGCTTCACTAGCACTTTGGGCTTTCCTTTACTTGGGCTTGAGTCTTGGATATCACCAAATATTGGGTCTGAGACAATGTTAGCTTGTTTTTCAATGAAGCTGACGAGATCTACCATCTTTACCTTGTTCCTCTGTTCTTGCAACTCAAATGCCTTTGTGCGCCACCTCTCTCTGAGCTTATATGGGAGCTTGAAAGCAATACACCTCATATTGGAGACTGTGTCCAGTTCTTCCATGAACTTCAAGTCTTCCATACTATTGCAGCAGCTTCTAAGACACAATGCGAAGGCCTGTAAAGCCTTTGGATCTTCTGGCTTGATTGAAGGCCAAGAAAGAGCTTTCTCAATATAAGCACATGAAATCCTATATGCATTACCAAAGTGTTCTTTTAATAGCTGCTTTGCCTTTTGGTAACCTTGGTTCGGTGACATGTGTTGGCAACTTCTTACCAGCTCCTGTGGTAGTCCCCTTGTGTACTGAATGAGAAAATGCAGCCTGTCTGCATTATCATCTGTTTTAGTTTCAATGATGTGCTCAAAAGAATGAAGGAATGACCTGTACTGCAGAATATCTCCACTAAACATTGGAATTTCCCCTCTTGGTAAGGTGGAAAGAAGTTGTTGTTTCACAAGCATGTCTGTCAAGTTGTTTTGTTTTTGAAGAATTTTAGCAAGATCAGGCCCTTGAATGACATTAGATGAAGATGATTCTCTACTTTCTAGAGGTCTTGCTTGAGCTGTATGAGAGATTTGTGCAGGGAGTTTGGAGTCAGTCTTCATGGTGGTGGGTTGTTGAATTGCATTGCTGTTCTGAGGAAAAGAATGTCTTGTAGTCTGAGTTGGTGCTGTAGAGAGTTCATGAAGTGTCTCTTTTGGGCGCACATCTTGTTGCACTGGAGTTTTATCCAACATCTCCTTACAATACACATTCATGGCATCATCTTCAACAGCATTTCCATTGGTTATTGAGGTCTCAGCATACTTGAGATACTCGATTTTTGCGGTGTTGGCTGCAATTTCAGCTTGAACTTCCCACACCTCCTTCATCTTTCTAAGTTCTTCTTCTTTCTTCTCTATAGCATGTTTTTGTTGCAGTGTATTGGCTTTGGCAAGTAAAGCTGCCCTCTCTGCCTCTGCACAGATACGAGCTGAGGCTGATGTTAACACACTTGATCTGCTTAAATTTGATCTGCTAGATCTGCCAGATCTACTGCTACGCACAGACAAGACAACTGAAGTGTTATCATCATCATCATTTAGCTGGTCAGTCACTTTTAGAGCAGAAGAAACTGGAGTACTAGTTTGAAAGTCTGATTCTTCTTGAATATTAGACATCCACTTCTCAACAGTAGAAACAAACATATCAACTTGTTTCATTCTTGGTTCATACCAGGTTTTCAGGTCTTCAACTTTATCCTCTTCACTTAACATTTGTACATATGATTCTTGAAGAGACTTGAATTCAACAAACATTTCATTGAACTTCATCATGTTTCCCTTTACTTCTTCAAGATATTCAGCATCAGTCATCAAAGAGTTAACAATATTAATTCGTCTTGTAAGGTGTGCCATCTTGCCTGCTCTAGAGGCTTTCAAACGAGCAGCAACCTCATTCAAATCTCTTTGAGCTGAGTTTGGGGATTGTTCTAGATAAGACTTGTCCTCCATTTTGTCTCAATCAAGCAAATATCATCTTTCCAAAGACACAAACTTTTCAAATTTCCTTTGATTCCTCTTTAAAATGGCATGCATCAAGACCTTTGAACTCTTCATCAAATTAATCCTTTCATCCACAGTTTGCAGCATCAAACTTGAGTTTTTCCAGTAACATTCAAATTTAACTCAGCACTTTGGTTCCGCAAGCACATACCTCTTTGAGAAGTTTCTTTTGTTCTCTGCTTCCAATGCCATGCGGTCTTCAAACAGTCCATCCACTCCGTTCAGGTTTATGGATAATCCTCCTTTTCTCAAACATATTCCATTTTCAAAGCCAGTCTTTTGACAATTTGTAGTGGTGAAAACAAGTTTCTTGTCCACTGTGGGAGATGCTGATGCTATGGTTCTGACGCGTGCAAAGTACCATGAATAGATCCAGAGAGGCGTGTTGATGTTCCAAACAAATAACTGAAGTTTATTAAATCAAAAATAAAGATGCATTGTAACATAAAACAAAACAAACAACTTTTAGGCCGCTTGCAGGTTTGTTGCACCATGCCACCCTAGCTCCATGTGCACGGTCAAAAGACTGTGTGCTCTTGCACCAGCGCCCCCTTCCTGTCAGGGGTGGCCTATCCTTTATACAACTTTTCCCCTCTCACCTATAGAGGGCACACACTCAGGGAAATAAACAATTAATAATACAACAACATTCTGATATTTAAATTAACAAATTTATCAAAATTAAATAAGGTGGTAAGTATGGCTCCTACAGTTACAGTTATAATGTTCTAGTTGTGTTAACATGTAACATTACTAGAACGTTTTATAAACAACACTCCATCATCTCAGGCCTCAATAATATTCTCAAAACATTTTAAGAATATTGATTTGATAATGTTCCTTCTCTGTTATTATGGAACATTGTACCAATGTTTTATTAAGAACATTGTATTATCTGTTATCTCAATAACATTCCCAAAACATCCTCAAAATGTTAGTTATAATGTTCTTACTTTGTTAACATGTCACATTACAAGAATGTTTTATAAAGAACACTCCATCATCTCAGGCCTCAATGATATCCTCAAAACATTTTAAGAACATTGATTTGATAATGTTCCTCCTCTGTTATAATGGAACATCGTACCAATGTTTTATTAAGAACATTGTATTATCTGTTATCTCAACAACATTCCCAAAACATCCTCAAAATGTTACAGTTATAATGTTATTGCTTTGTTAACTCGTCACATTACAAGAACGTTTTATAAAGAACACTCCATCATCTCAGGCCTCAATAATATTCTCAAAACATTTTAAGAACATTGATTTGATAATGTTCCTCCTCTGTTATAATGGAACATCGTACCAATGTTTTATTAAGAACATTGTATTATCTGTTATCTCAACAACATTCCCAAAACATCCTCAAAATGTTACAGTTATAATGTTCTAGTTGTGTTAACATGTAACATTACTAGAACGTTTTATAAACAACACTCCATCATCTCAGGCCTCAATAATATTCTCAAAACATTTTAAGAATATTGATTTGATAATGTTCCTCCTCTGTTATAATGGAACATCGTACCAATGTTTTATTAAGAACATTGTATTATCTGTTATCTCAACAACATTCCCAAAACATCCTCAAAATGTTACAGTTATAATGTTCTAGTTGTGTTAACATGTAACATTACTAGAACGTTTTATAAACAACACTCCATCATCTCAGGCCTCAATAATATTCTCAAAACATTTTAAGAACATTGATTTGATAATGTTCCTCCTCTGTTATTATGGAACATTGTACCAATGTTTTATTGAGAACATTGTATAATCTGTTATCTCAATAACATTCCCAAAACATCCTCAAAATGTTACAGTTATAATGTTATTGCTTTGTTAACTCGTCACATTACAAGAACGTTTTATAAAGAACACTCCATCATCTCAGGCCTCAATGATATCCTCAAAACATTTTGGGAACGTTGATTTGATAATGTTCCTCCTCTGTTATTATGGAACATTGTACCAATGTTTTATTGAGAACATTGTATAATCTGTTATCTCAACAACATTCCCAAAACATCTTCAAAATGTTACAGTTATAATGTTCTAGTTGTGTACATTACAAGAACGTTTTATAAAAAACACTCCATCATCTCAGGCCTCAATAATATCCTCAAAACATTTTACGAACGTTGATTTGATAATGTTCCTCCTCTGTTATTATGGAACATTGTACCAATGTTTTATTGAGAACATTGTATAATCTGTTATCTCAACAACATTCCCAAAACATCCTCAAAATGTTACAGTTAAAACGTTATATCTTAGTTTACATTTAACGTTATAGGAACATTATTTGAAATGAGAAAACATCCTTAAAACATTCTTTGAACATTACATTCAAATGTTTTTTAAAAAACATTAACCAAACTTGTAGGGAATGTTAGCCAAAGTTCTGAGAACGTTCCCTGCTAGCTGGGACAGTATAAGACAATCAATATTCTTGCTTCGGCATCCCATGTTAAACTCCATCATATCGCCGGGATGATAATCCTCTGATCTGAAGTGAACGCTACACACGACCGCATTTTTCGAAGCTGAATGCGGAAGAGAAATCCCGTCTCTTCACCTGCACAAACCGCACCAGGCACGAAAGAGATATAGCACCGTCCTTTTTCTTGTTAGGAAACCTGTGGACTCGATGTCCTGACAGGCCGGAGTTTTTGCAACCTCCACAAACACAATAATTTGCCATGACAATGATAAATTGAAGTACAAAAACTACCTAAAACACACTGACTCACGACTGCTTTCACTGAATACCAGCCTACTCTGCACTGAGCTGAGGCTGAGGCTCCCTGACGTGACGTAAAATGATGAGATGTTGAAAAAAAAAGCCGTTTTTACCAGCAGTCCAAGATACACTCACTTTATCTACTAAATTAGTGCCCTTAACTGTATGCATTTAAAATATGGTTGACGAATTAACAAATTAACTGACTTGATTTTAAATGAATATTTTTATCATAGGTAGAGAAAACGCCTCTCAGAAGTATAACTGGGTATATGAGGGAAGGACCTGGACTGGAGCTCAGAGCTACTGCAAAGAGAAATACACAGACCTGGCCAGTGTGAGAGATGAGACAGAGCGTCAACAGATACTGAGCATTACACGTTATAGCTATGGATATTCTGTGTGGATTGGTCTGCACAGACTCAGACTGTGGTCAGATCAGAGCAGCTCTTCCTTCACATATTGGCTGCCATATACTCCAGGTGAGGTTGCACAACCAGATAATGGTGCAAATGTCCCAGGACTGCTGGGAGCTCAACACTGCACAGCTGTGTCTCTAAAATACTTTGATCAGTGGACGGATGAAAGCTGCTTTGCCAATTTGACTTTCTTCTGTTACAGTGGTGAGCAAATAACTTAAAAAAAGAAATAAAAGAATCAGGCTATAACACCCAAAAACAAGAAAATGTGGATGTAAATGTGGATTCTGTCAATTAAAAACAATAGAAAGATTGTATCAAACATGTAACATGCTAACTTTTTGCTAATGCAAGCTTTCTGTTTGCTTTTTGGTGACCATCTGATGATCATCTGACTGATGATCATCATAACAACACACCATTTCAGATGAGTATGGTATGTTTTTGTAGATATGTGATCCATTTGTTTCTTTAATTATCAATAATCTTAAAACATAATGTAAATTGTTACCGTTTTTGGTTACACTTTATTTCAATAGTTCACTTTAGACATTCTACTAACTATAAGTACATTTTTAACATGTCAACTAACTCTCATTAGAGTTTTAGTAGGCTGTAGTAGACTGTCAGTAGACTGTTAGATAAGGGTTAGGTGTTAGGGTTCGGGTTAGGAGAATAAGTTGACTTGTAGTTGCCAAGTTACTTATAGTCAGTAGAATGCGTGTTGGGGGACCAACAAAATAAAGTGTTGGCAAATAGTAAGCAGACAGTCTACTAATCCTCTAAGGACTGTTAGTTGACATGTAGCTGCAAAATTACTTATAGTTAGTAGAATGTCTAAAGTGGACTATCGAAATAAAGTGTTACCCAGTTCTCTTACGAGAGGTTCTCTCGTACTGCGTAATATCTTACGCTAGGGGAAAACCTCTTTTCCACGAGATATTGAAGCCAAAAAATTATCCTTAATTTTGAATTAATGTAAAACGCGTTGCGGCAGCATACAGACATAGGCAAAGGCGGCTTGCGTGCCTATTAGCTGCCCTGCTGCAACTGCAGCAGCCTATCGAGAGAGGCCCTTCGGTGACGGTCCAATGGGGGCGCTTCCCGCCCACCTCGTCACCTTCCCGCCAGAGTAGGCGTGGCCTAGCCCTATAAATATGGCTCGATGGGCTGATATCACTGATTTTTCATCTCTTCAACGTAGCTCACGCAGCGTTGGATCCGGAGTGAGAAGCCGCGCCGTTGGAAAAAGCCTTCTGCAGGACGAGCCATTGCATCTGAAGCCGCTGGCCTTCACTTCGCCGCCTTCAGTCGCCGTTCCTGCTACACTACCCGGCATACTATATCCTTTTACACTCTGCTAAGTGTGTGTTCGCCGCCGCGACTCACCTTTCTAAAAGAGCTGCGTCTTTTTAAAGATGCCTTTATCCTGTGGCTCGTGCCGAGCCCCACTCAGCGACGGGGACCGCCATGTGATTTGCGTTTCCTGCCTAGGAGAGGATCATGCAGCTCTCGCGCTCGCTAACGGTGGATGCCCTCATTGCGAGCTGTTGCCTATGGTGACTCTGAGGACTCGCCTGGCATTCTTCTCCGAGACTGCACCACCACCCTGTAACGAACGAAACTGTGTATTTACATGCATCACATTATTGTGTGGTGTGCCCCTTTAAGAGACTGATCACGTCATTCATGACGTGCGCTATGCGTGATGACGCTGTTGAGTTGAGTGTGAGTGAGATCCACCGTGGATGCTAAGCGTGCTCTACATCTTTATATACTTTTGTTTCACTAGTTTTATTTTGTGACCCTGAAAGAGTAATCTCTCATGTGTGAGAGGATTGCCTTGCCTGTGTTACCTGCCATTAAATGTGCGTGATACAGCCTTTACGCCTCTAAACCCTTTCTTCTATTGACTTCGTGAGAGCTATCCTGGTCAAAGCGTTACAACCCGCTACAGCGCCGCGCCGTAAGAAGCGTCGCACTCAACGGGTCCCTGAGCCTTCTCCAGCCCGCGAATGCTCGCCGGTTCGCCCGCCAGCTTCGCTGGACGAGGAAGGCCCGGGTGCTATCAACATGCCGGATTTACGGAGCGCTACAGACCTGGCTCTTCGCGCCGCGAAATCTGCTGCACAGGCTATGGGGCGGACTATGGCTTCTCTCACTGTCGCAGAGAGACATCTATGGTTGACGCTGTCGGAAATGCCGGATACGGAGCGCTCTGTGTTCCTCGACGCGCCCATTTCCCCGACGGGCCTCTTCGGATCTTCCGTCAAAGATTTCGCGGAAAGATTTGTCGAAGTTCAAATAACGTCACAGGCTTTGAAGCACTTCCTCCCGAAGCGCGCTAGCTCTGCAGCAGGTCGCCCTAAACAGCCGTCTGCTCGAAGCTCTCAACCAAAGCCTCTGCCCGCCACCGCTTCACAGCGTCACCAGGCCCGGGATCAGAGACCGCGCTCTCACTCTTCTGGCCGCCGCCCCCCTCCGCGTGGGCCCCGGCCGAGGATTGAGATCAAGCCCGAGGCCTCGAAGTCGTCCTAGCCCTTCTAGGAAAACGACGGTGTTCAAGTCCCGCCGCGACCAGACTTTCACCGAAACATCTCGCTCGTTCAGTTCCAGGAAATGCGACTGTTCCAGTGTATTCTGCAGTAAACAAGTCGGCAACACGGCCCGCTTGCCTGCACACAAACGCCGTTTTCACGGCGACCCAGATATATCACATAAAGAGTGCAATTTCTGGTGTTCCGGCCACGGCCGATGGTGTTTTGAGTGTAATAAAAATGCCCACAACCCAGTGCTCATTTCTACACACAGACACGGCCCGCAGCAATGCAGGGCTCACACAAATAAAACCGGCTCATGTCGATTGTGCAACAAATGTAGTGAATGTGCCCACGACCCAGTGCCCACAAACACTACACAATACATGTCCCACGGTTTCTGTAAAAACGAAACCAACACACATACAGTCAGCCCCGGCCGACGGTTTTTTCAGTGCAGTAAATGTGCCCGCTGTCCCGCGCCCACATTCACTCACAGACATGCTAAGCCCCACGGGGCTCGCCCCGCTCGCTCTTTCCCAGCAGACTGCTATAAAGGAAATGAGCGCGGCCAGGCTGCCCGCCGTGATCGGCGCCCCCCCCGCCTCAGTCACTGCAAACGCAGTATTCACACTACAGCACGCCAGGGCTCCCTTGTCGTCCCTATGTCACGACCAGAGCCCAAATACCATTCTACCCCTAGCTGTTCATGCAAACGCGTGGGCGCAGCTTCCCAGGATATCAGAATGGGTGCTGAACATTATAAAAAGAGGCTATTCGCTACAGTTCGCTCGACGCCCCCACTGTTACACGGCGTGCGTCGAATCCACGGTGAAAACAGAAGCCCATCTACTTCGAGCCGAAATAGCGACACTATTGAGCAAATGGGCAATACAGCCTTTATCTCAAGCTCAGAGCGAGGGGGGTCTGTACAGCAGATATTTTCTGGTCCCGAAAAAAGACGGGGGTCTCAGACCCATTTTAGATCTAAGACAGCTGAACAGAGCGCTTATGAAACGCCGGTTCAGAATGCTCACAACCAAGAAAATCCTCGCGCAAATTCGCCAAGGGGACTGGTTTATGTCAATAGATCTGAAGGACGCTTACTTCCAGATACAAGTAGCATTACGTCACAGGCGTTTCTTGAGATTCGCCTTCGAGGGCCAGGCATATCAATACACAGTCCTACCGTTCGGCCTGTCTCTTGCACCCCGTACATTTCCAATGTGCATGGACGCTGCTCTCGCACCCCTGAAACTTCGGGGCATGCGAGTTTTGAACTACTTGGACAATTGGCTGATTCTAGCTCGATCTCACTCAGAGCTCATAGAACACAGGGCCATATTACTCGAGCACCTCGAGAATCTGGGTCTCACAGTCAATTGGGCGAAAAGTTCGCTGCTTCCCAGTCAGGAAATAACCTTTCTGGGCACAGAACTGAACTCGCTGTCTATGACAGCGCGACTATCGCCAGAGCGCAGACTGAACATTCAGCGCGCCGCGAAATCCTTCCGCCGCGGCACTATAGTCCCGCTCAAAAGGTTTCAGAAAATGCTGGGTCTCATGGCCTCAGCATCATCAGTGCTCCAGTTGGGTCTGCTTCGTATGCGCCCACTGCAGTGGTGGCTAAAGGCACGAGTACCTCCTCGAGCCTGGGCCCCCAGTCATTTTCGCCTCAAGGTCGACCAGAAGTGCGTCTCAGTTACCTTGGAGAGCGACCGACTGGTACCAGTCAGGTGTAAGCCTGGGGACTTCCTCGAGTGTGCAGGTGGTGTCCACGGACGCCTCCACCTCGGGATGGGGAGCGCTGCACCAAGGCAGACCGTTCTTTGGCCTGTGGTCAGAACGAGAGAAGCTCCTACACATAAACTGTCTGGAAATGATGGCAGTCGACAATGCGCTGAGGCGTTTTTGTCCCCGAATAAAGGGAGACCACGTCTTAGTCTGCTCGGACAATATGGTAGCCTACATAAATCACCAGGGCGGCATCAGATCCCGAAACCTCCTGGTCTGGGCTCAGCACAACCTGCGCTCACTGAGAGCAGCACATGTGCCTGGTCACCTGAATCTGGGGCCAGACAGACTGTCCAGAAGCAATGTTCCAGCAGGGGAATGGTCTCTGCACCCGCAGACGGTCCTCCTGCTGTGGGAGACATTCGGCAGAGCGCAGATAGACCTATTTGCGTCTCAAGAGAACGCTCACTGTCCGAAGTTTTTCTCCAAGAGCAAGGATGCGCTGGCCCACGCCTGGCCATGCTGCCCGCTCTATGCTTTTCCTCCGATTTCGCTCCTGCTTCAGGTGCTGGAACGAATCAAGGAAAACGGATGCTCAGTGCTCCTTGTGGCTCCGTTCTGGACGAACCAAGCTTGGTTCCCAGTCCTAATGCAGCTGACGAGTGCTGCCCCATGGCCAATACCAACGAGGAAGGACCTCCTCTCTCAGGCCAAGGGCTCGATTTGGCATCCTCACCCGGAGCTATGGTCCCTGCACGCATGGGCCATCAACGGGTACCCGCAAACCTCCCAGAGGGAGTATTAAACACAATCACGCAGGCCAGGGCGCCGTCCACTAGACGACTCTATGCCGCGAAATGGTCAGTGTTTGCTGGCTGGTGCAGAGTCCGAGGCTTTTCACCCCCAAACTGCGGGATTACGGAAGTGCTCTCCTTCCTTCAGGGGCTGCTGGATAAGGGTATAACCCCATCCACGCTTAAAGTTTATGTGGCGGCCATAGCTGAGTTTACAAAACCCGCGACTGGCCAGTCACTGGGGAAAAATTATCTGGTCATCCACTTCTTAAAAGGAGCTAAGAGACTAAATCCTACCAGACCCCCCTCAGTCCCCATGTGGGACCTTTCCACAGTTCTGGAAGCCATGAAAGGTGCCCCGTTTGAGCCGATCCACCTGTCGAACATGAAACACCTGTCATTCAAGACAGCGTTTCTCATAGCGCTCGCTTCAGTGAAGCGCATAGGGGATCTGCTAGCGCTCTCAGTAAGCGCGACGTGTCTGGAATTTGGGCCAAATGACTCAAAAGTCGTACTCAAACCAAGACACGGATATGTGCCTAAATCCCTCAATACTCCGTTCAGGGCCCAGGTCATTTCCCTGTCCGCCCTGCCGGTTCATAACGAGGAGATGGGCGAGAGCTTCCTTTGCCCAGTCAGGGCATTAAGAGCTTATGTGTCTCGCTCGTCCGTTTTCAGACAGACCGAGCAGCTGTTCGTTTCGTTCAACGGACGTACTAAGGGACTAGCCGACTTCTTTCTTCTCAGAGAAGAAAGAAGCAAACTCACTGCACTGAGAGCTGAGAGCATTTCACTGGGAATCTGGCTTGGGGGGTTTGTCAGTCCCTCTACAGTAGCAAAAAGAGTGCGTGTGTTGTTTAAGTTGCTGTTTATAATATTTGAGAAGAAAGTCTGTCCAGCTTTGCCTAGTTCCATATTGAAAGCATGGATGCTGTCTTTGTAGATGTTATAATGTACTACAAGTTTTGTCTTCCGCCACATGCGCTCTGTTTTTCTGCATGTTCTTTTCATATTTTGCACTGCTGTTGTGTTTCTCCAAGGTGCTTTTTTTCTACCACTATTCTTCCTGACTTTCACAGGAGCAATATAATCTATTACACCTTTAACCTTCGAGTTAAAATAATCAAGGAGAAAATCAACAGAGTCAGCAGATATGCTTGGTTTTAAAGATATGGGCTTCATAAATAGCACACTAGTGTTCTCATTTAAGCCTCTCTTCTTGACAGACACAGATCTAGCTTCAATGGCAGGAGAGATCAATATATCAAAGAAAATACAGAAATGATCAGACAGTGCTACGTCCTTAAAAACGATCGATGAAATGTTTAGACCCTTACTGATAAGTAAATCTAGAGTGTGTCCACGATTGTGTGTGGGTCCATGTACATGCTGAGTCAGATCAAAAGTTTTTAAAACAGTTTTGATTTCTTTTGCCATATTTGTATCATTTTCTATGTGAATGTTAAAATCTCCAGTAATAGCAAAACAGTCAAACTCTGAGGTGATTGATGATAACAGTTCTGTAAAGTCCTCAGCAAAGGCTGGAGAGTATTTTGGAGGCCTGTAAATAATGATAAGTAAAATGCGTGGGGCACCTTTTTACACAGTACCGAGATATTCAAAAGAGGGGTAGTTACCAAATGATGTTTGCTTACATTGATAGACATCTTTAAAAAGAGCAGCTACTCGCCCTCCTCTCCTAACAGCTCTGCAGACACTCATAAAAGTAAAGTTAGGAGGGGATGTTTTATTGAGGACTGTTGAACTGCAGCTGTCTTCTAGCCAAGTTTCATTTAGAAGCATAAAATCCAGGTTGTATGTGGTTTTTAAGTCATTGACTAGAAGTGATTTATTTTTAAGTGAGTGGATGTTTAAAAGTGCTTGTAGTGTTTTGTAGTATGAAGCACACGACCAGAATAATTCCTTCGAGGCTTTTTATTCAACACATGTTCAACTCAACTCCACACACTGCTTCTTCTTCTTTCTCAGTAGCACTTCAACACTTAAGCATTACACTGCCACCTTGTGGTTAACTATGAACACCACATTCCCCTCTTACTTGAAAGATTCTTCATATCACAGATTAGTGTTCAGAACCAAACCTTTTGTTTGTTTAAAGTAACAAAAATCACATCACATTACTGCGTACTGTTATTAACTTTACCACAACTTAACCAATGTAATTGACATTGTTTTACTACTTCTAATGCACAGTTTTATGTATTTACGTAACTAGGCTATAACTGTTCACAACATATCCACAACAGGATGCATGTTTTTTTTTTTTTTCATGTACAATTCCACTTCACTGTAAGTCATATTCCTTCAACCACGCTGGCATTCTACGCACTCTACTACTCTTCCTAAGATTAAATGTCACTGGTGGTTGCAAGCTCTCATTCTGAGTGGTAACAGGACCTGTAAAGCGAGTTAATTTAGAAACATTCCATTTCTTTTTGTCACTCAGCACAAAGGTACTCTTTCCGATTTGCTGCTCAATGCTCAGGGGTGGTGAGAACTGAGAAACACCCTTTCTCACATGCCCAGGTTGTTTCACTCTCACCTGGTCTCCTGGTTTGAAAGTGTGGTACTTGGCACCACGTCTTTTGTCAGTGTACTTTTTACTCTTGAGCTGTTTGTTACTCACAGTCTCTTTCACTTGAGCACATTTGTCACTCTTGGGGCCAACAGGAAAAACATTCAGCTTTGTACGCATTTTGCGATGATGAAGAAGCTCAGAAGGTGAAACGGCTGTAGTACTGTGTGGGGTAGCTCTGTAGCTTTGCAAGAACTCAGTCACTGCATGTTTCCATGGTTTCCCCATCTGTTCCGCAGAAAGAATGCATTCTTTCAGAACTCTATTCCACCTCTCCACAGCGCCATTGCCTTGAGGATAATACACGCTACTACGCATGTGACTTATTCCTCTCTCCTTTAAGAATGCTGCAAACACACTGGAGGTGAATTGAGGGCCGTTGTCAGTCACAACACACTGGGGATTTCCCTCTCTACTGAACGCTGATTGGAGAAATGATGTGACCACTTCAGCAGTGACATTTGGAGAAAACGCTACCTCAGGCCACTTACTATGGTAGTCCACCAGACAAATGGCAAAACGACAGTCAGAAGGTCCTCTCTCAAACGGTCCAACGATATCGATCGCTAGTTTCTGCCATGGTTCAGACGGCAGACTGACAGGCTGAAGAGGAGCCGGTGCTGTTTTAGCCGATTTGTCATTTAGTTGGCATGTTAAGCAGGAAGAAACAGCCGACTGCACGTGAGCATCCATCTGAGGCCACCAAAATAATTCACGCAGCCGCTGTTTCGTTTGAACAATTCCTTGGTGTGTCTCATGTGCCAGGCTTATCATTTTACAGCGCAATGTAGAAGGAACAAGAACACGATGTTCGCCTCTCCTCACTAGCACACCATCCACACACAGTTCATCACGAATACGAAAGAAGGGCACCAGAACAGGATCCAAGTCACAGGATTTTTTCGGCCAGCCCTGCCCGATTCGCAAGCGCAGCTGGGCTAACTCTGGACAGGCTTCCGAAGCTGCTATGAAATCCTCAGCAGACAATGTAGGCAGCCCAGTAACGAAAGCAACCATTTCTGGTTCCACAGCACTATCATTTCCTGTCGGTAGTGGCAGCCTGGACAGACAATCTGCAGCACAATTAAGACGTCCAGGTCGGTAGATGACATCATATGTGTAGCAAAGCAAACGTGCCGACCACCGGGCGACCCGCATACCGGCCCGGCCAATTCCTTTGGTTGCCAACAGTGTAGTGAGCGCAGAATGATCAGTTCTGAGCGTAAAGTGTCGACCCCACAGATACGGCCGCCACTTTTCTACGGCCCAGACACAAGCCAACGCCTCCTTCTCGACCGTAGAGTATTTCCTTTCGGCTGCAGTAAGGGTTCTGGAAGCAAACGCTACAGTCCTTTCAACACGGTCTGGGTGTATTTGTGTCAAAACCCCACCCAGGCCATAGTCAGAAGCATCAGTCGACACTATAGTGGGAAGGGACGGGTCAAACAACGCAAGCACTTGACTTCCAGAAAGCAGATCTTTCAGCTCTTTGAAGCTGCGTTCAGCAGACACAGTCCAGGCAAACTTAATATCTGACGTATCTCTAAGTAGCGCACGCAACGGCTCAGCAACAGAAGCAAAGTTCGGCAAAAACTTGCTGTACCATGAAATCAGTCCCAGAAATGAGCGCAAGGAAGCAACATCGTGCGGCGCAGGAGCCTCAATGATCGCAGACTTGTGTTCCTCATCTGGGAAAATTCCATGTTTGGAAACAACGTGTCCAAGGAACTTTAAGGATGACTGGCTGAACGTACACTTGTCCCGGTTCAGTTGTAGTCCTGCGTCTGACAAGCGCTGCATGACTGAGCGCAGCGTTGTATCGTGACTTTCCTGGGTGGCACCATACACTATGATATCATCCAGGTAGTTCCTTACCCCATGTATGCCTTTCAGGACAGTTTCCATCATCTTTTGAAACGCCGATGGCGCGGAAGCAAGGCCGTACGGAACCCGGCAGTACCTGAAGAGACCATCATGCGTAATAAAAGCTGTGATGTCCCGGCAGTCCTCGTGTAAGGTAAGCTGATGGTAAGCAGCCGCTAAATCAATTGTAGTGAACACTGATGAGCCGCTTAGTTCACTCAAAAGTTCATCTATATGTGGCAGAGGATGGCTGTCAACAATCAGGGCCTTGTTTGGCTCACGCAGATCAACACAGAGACGTATTTTACCTCCTTTCTTCGTGGTGACAACAATAGGTGAAATCCACGGGGAAGAATCGATTTTCTCAATTATGCCATTTTGCAATAACGAGTCGAGTTCTGCAGAAACAGCTTGTCGCACAGAGAATGGAAGTCGACGAAGCTTCTGTCGAACTGGACTAGCGTCAGGTTTAACTGTAGGCTTATGAACAAACCCTTTCACGCTCCCCACAGAAGTAACTGGAGCAGGAATAGTTTCACCAACAACTGCATGTAGTTCGTCAGGCGCAGTAACAGTACCAAAATGAAAGGAACAGTTCAAAGCTCGAATTAAGTCCATGCCCATCAAAGCAGAGCCACCTTTCACAACGTAAAAACAAGCAGTGGTTACCTTTTTATTCAGTGAGACGTCCGCATGTAAGCATCCTAGCACAGGAATATCTTCTTTCAAGTACGTGACCAGTTTCACTTTAGGAGCGGTAAGAGAACAATCCGAAAAGTGTCGTTTGTACACGACTGCAGGCAGGATTGATACCGAAGAGCCCGTATCCACGACTAATTCAGTCTCAACGGAAGCACCATTTGGCGTCGTAACATGAACATTGCATAAAAGTTTGTCTGTAGAAGTATTCACAGTTTCAGTCAAAAGAACGACCACTTCAGGGACCACTTCCCGAACATCCTTAGAAGAACGGCAAACTTTAGAAAAATGTCCGGTCTTACCACAAGTACGGCATTTGGCTCGAGCGGCTGGGCAATCGGCAGCATTAGCCAGATGATTTGTAGCTCCGCAACGGTAACATGCGCGACTCACCCGCCGTGTAGTATCAGCCACAGGTTTTGCTCTGTTAGAATGTTCAGCACGCTTCTTCCGATGAAAGGGTTTAGAAGCCACGGCCTGAACTGAACTTTGTGCCGTGAGCATGTCCGAATTCGAGAGCGCTTGTTCCACCTGACACGCAATAACAATAGCTGTGTCCAGG